AAACGATCTGTACTGTATAAAGCGCTGTATAAATAAGCCGCTCAGCTTTAGGTAAATGTCTTAGCTCTTGCCATGCATAAGAACTTTTGCATACTATGTACTGCAGATTAGTATGCTGGGATGACATTTTGAACACAGCCGTGTTCCCAGATTCAGCTCAGCACGTTTCTGATTGGTTACTTGAGTCCAGGCTCCTTCCCCTTTAAATGTGATCGACCTGTTCATTGGTCAGATCCATCGACGGAAAGGCCAATCAGCTGTCAGCTGGGTTTATGAGAAGTCTTCCATTAGTGGAGCTGCACCAGCATCTATGAGGGGGGTCAAAGGTCAGGCTAGCGATACGCGAGAGAAAACAAGAGGTCACGGACCGTACTACTAAAGATGCCTGCCTGTTTTTTTCATAGAAGATGTTCTGATTATTGCCATGCTGAAATGTTCTTCTGCTGACCTGGGATGTGTTTGCTGATGTTTGCACCTTAATTCTGAACACGTTCATGTTCATTATGTAAAGAGTTCTGAATAAAACATTAAACCTGCCACAGGAGGAAAATATCATAAAAAAAAAAGGATTAAACTGTGGTCTGGTTTCAGGTTTTCTTCTGCCATCAGCACAAATACACAGTACTTGTTATGATCTGTTCCAAAACCTCATCATCTGCATCGCTGTCGGCCAATATTTAAACAGTTAAACATTTTTTGTCAGCGATTACTGCTACAACAGAGTTCACACCAAGAGATATTTGACGCCAGGTGGATTCTGATTGGCTATTATTCTCAAAGAAATAGTTTTTGTCGTTCATCAGCAGGGAAAATTGTTCTGGGAGTGATTCCAACGATATCGTTCTTCTGTTTCGTTATCGTTATAGCTGTAGGACTTCTCACAGATTTAGAACGATTATTACAACTTATCGTACATTAAAAGACATGCATATAGATCGCTCTGCTTTTTTTCATTTTTGTAGTCTGTTCAGTGTTTACAAGTGTCCAGCCGAACGTGAACGCTTTCTGAAAGCTATTTTTAGTTTTGGTGAATAAATAAAGCAGCTGGGTGACGTGTGTTCACGCTCACTGACGTTTGAGTCTGAAATCTGTCGCATCGTAGTCCTCAAATGTTTTGCACAAAACAGAAGAAAAAGTTAGACATAAACATCCCGTTAAATTTATGCTAAAATAGGCAGAAATATTTGTTTTTTTTTTTAAAAAAAGAAGTTTTTGAAAGAAGTCATCAAGGCTGCATTTATTAGATCAAAAATACAGAAAAAACAGTAATACTGTGAAACATTATTGCACTTTAACTTTTCTATGTGAACATATTTTAAAACTTGTAATGCAAAGCTGTGTTTTCAGCATCATTACTGCATCATTCAGGATCTGTTGATGAATAGAAAGTCCAACAAAATAGAATTTATTTGAAATAGAAATATTTTGTAACATTATAAATGTCTCTATTGTCACTTCTGATCAAATTAATGCATCCTTGATGAATAAAGCGATTGATTTAAAAATAATCTTACTGACCCCAAACCTTTTGAACAGTGCTTAAAGGGGTCATATGATGCTACATGCACTTTTACAAGTTGTTTGTGCTGGCGCGCGTCCGGAGAGAGAAAGAGAGAAAGCGCACGGAGCTGAAAGGTCTTGAATAAAGCGCGTTTGGCTTTTGATAAAAATACTAGATGATATAGCGCTGAAATATATTTACCATAAATGACCCTGAGTGCTTGTTATGTGATCCGCTCCGCTTTTTTGATGCGCCGTTCACTTAAAATGGTGCTGTTACGGCTCGCGGTCCGGATGGATGCCGGGGTGCGGATGCAGTCCGCCTTTTGAATATCAGTTATTTAAGGATAAAAGACTCGAGTTGCTTTTAAAATTTCCACGAGTCCTTTTCCTCGAGTCGAGTCAAGTCTGGAGTAATTTCAGGTCGAGTCTGAGTCAAGTCTGAAGTCTATAAAAATGCGACTGGAGTCCGAGTCACTAACTCTAACTGCCCATCTCTGTTATGTATTCTACACTCATGGCATGCACACATTAGGATAGGTTAGATGCCTGCCTCCGTTGCGAGTCCCTATCAAGCACTTTACAGATTGAACTACTCTCCTTTCCTCCTCCTGCCTGGCTCTTTGGCCCGCATCACTCACCACAGCGCAAGCCTGTTCCTGATAATGCTGCTGTGAAAACGTGGGAAAAGCCGACGAGGAAGAAGTTGGGGTGAAGCGATCTTTATATAGGCGGAGCAAAATACTTCATCGCTCCGTCTATAGCGATTGAGGTGTTCTGTTTTTGTATGTAATAATGAACACAGCAGTCGTCATTTACTCCCGACATCTGAGCCGCTGAAGATGCAGTGGATTACGTTTGTTTCTAAAGGGAATGCGCCCCCCGATCTACCTAAATGCGTCTATGTTCGCGCGAATCATTCGTGATCCAGCTTCATCTACAGAAGTATGTGTAATGTTTTGTAATGAATCTTTGCAAATCGCCTTTCCTAATCATGTGC